GTCGCCAGAGCAGAAGATCCTGAAACAAGCATTTTTTTTTTATCCACTGACTGTAATAAGTCTGATTCGGTCTATTTTTTTTAAAATGTCCCTCACCATTTGAAACTCACCATTCTCAAATCTCATTGGTTCAGTCCTGCCTTGCACTGACAGCTGAAAAGCTGGAGAGTGAACCAGAGTGTATTCACCTTTTCCATTGAAGGTGAAAGTAACACCATCAAATGTGATGAAGTGTGGGTCACCAAGGACAGCAGCTGATAAGATTGAGAGGACAAGGATACACACACACACACACACACACACACACACACACACACACACACACACACACACACACACACACACACACACACACACACACACACACACACACACACGTCACGCTTTAAGATAGCCTTTTTAAGTTAATAAATTCAGATTTTTGGAGCTTTGGTGTTGCTGCCTTTTTTCATACTTTAAATATTAAAACAGAAATAAATATATAAATATTAAAAAATAATGCTAAACTAAATAAATGAAAAAAATACTAATTAGTAAAATTAAATTAAAGAGACAACAAAAAATCTAGAAGAAAAGAAAATACAAAAAAATATTTTTAAAAATAAATGAAGAGAAAAATGAAAAATAACAAAATACTAAACAGAATAATAAATATATAGAATAATGCAAAAAATAAAACAAACAATAATAATAAATAAATAAATACAAAAAATTTTAAAATAAAAATAGAACTAAAAATATGAACATAATAATACTTATGATAAAATAAATAATTAAAAATACAAATTAGTAAAATAAAATTAAAAAGAAAACTAAAACAAAAGAAAATTCAAAAAATTACTAATAAAATATTTGTAAAAATAAATGAAGACAAAAATAAAAGATAACAAAAATAAACAAAGTAATAAATATATAAAATAATGAAAATAAAACAGATATTAGTAATAAATAAATAAATAAATACAAAAACTAAATTTAAATTAAAATACAATAAAAATAGAACTAAATATATGAACATAATAAAAATATGATAAAATAAATAAAGGAATAAAATAAAAATTAGTAAAATAAAATTAAAAAATAAAAATAAAATGAGAACAGCAAAAAATAAAATAAGAAAACAAAATAAATGTAAGTTAAATTTAAAAAAAAAGACAACAAACAATACAAAACGAAAACAATAAATAAAAAATGAAAAACATTAGTCAATGTTATTAAAAGGAAAAAAAAAACTAAAGAAAATAGAAATAATTCAAATAAATTTAAATAAAAATAAAATAACAATAAATAAACCTGACTAAAATGAAAAAAAAAAAAAAACGAAGAAAATACAAAAAAATTATGTAAATATATAGATAACAGATAAAAAAAAAACTGTTACGCAGTTGCTGGATGGCTGAGTGGAGTAAAACAAAACAAATAAAAACACAACCAAAAAAACAAAAAATTGAAAACCAAACCAAACCAAACCACAAATCAGGAAAAAAAAAAAAAGACAAATACACAACTAACATTTTCTTTACCTGCTCTAGGAGGTTGATATGTCCTGCAGTCACTGGACGGCCGGTGAGTGAAGTAGTATTCACAGTTGTGTGACCACAGGCAGCAGTAGTAGAAGCTAATCACATCGTACTTCCAGTGGGAGAATCCAGGAACTCTGGGGGGTTTCTTGTATGGTGGATCCCCCCAGTCATGCCCTCGATCAGGAGTACTGCCACCAATAGAGTCCCTCGTGAGCACCTGAGCTCCAGTGCTGTCGTAACAACACTGCTGACCTGCTCCATATTCAGGACTGCAAAACAGGGCATCAACAGAATAAATAAATAAATAAATAAATAGCTTAAATAAAATGTTTTTTATAACTCTGACAATGTGTTATAAAATAAGTCTTTCTGGGTTTTTGTCCCCCTCCCTTGATATTAAAATTTAATATACTAATTAATATATATATAAGATTATTACTAATTAAAATAATTAGTATATTAATGTATTAATATACCTAATGTCAGACCTACAGACCTTATAATTCTGACATCAATAATTCTGATGCCAAGATCATACTTGCGGTCATAAAATATCAAATTCAGCCAGAATTGTGACAAGAAAATACATCCCAAATGCAA